TTCACTCAACTTTTCCCCTACAAATACTGCCACAAACAAGGAATAGGATCAAAACATCCTCCAAGAGCAACTACTCCCAACAGACCAGGATCAATTTGGAGATGAACGATTTTTTTCCAGCATGATGGAGCACCATGTCAAAAGGCAAAAGGGATGACCAAGTGGGTTGATGAACAAAACATTGAAATTTTCGGTCCATGGCCAGGAAATTCCCTGGATCTCAGTTACATTGAGAACCTGTGGTCAATCTTCAAGAAGAGGGTGGACAAACTGAGTGGCTCGAGGTGAGTGTGTGTGTGCTGTCTCCTTCATGGTGTGGGCTGCAGGTTTTTTGTGGCGTTTTCGCTTTGCTGTGCCATCGTCCTACTCTTCGGCGGTGTGGTAGGTGCCGTGGCATGTCATGGTTGTGTGGCTGCCTGGATTGTACTGGGGGTATCAGTTTGTCTATGGGGTGGTTCTTGTGTTGGTGTTGGGATTGCCTGACRTTTTGTGTCTGGTATGACTTGTTGGCTGACTCAGTTAGTATGAGGTGTGTTTTGTTGTTTTGCAAGCCTGGTTGTGGCTGTAGTCTGATGGTGGGCTGAGGTTTGTGTTTGTTGGGTGAGTGAGTGAGGGAGCAGTGTGGTGTATCGGGGACTGTCAAGACGAAATAAAAAAAGAAACAGAAATGCAAAAACAATTGTCCTTGCTCTTGTCTGAAATATTATTGTTGAATAATAATACATTTGCAGTCCTACTGACCGACATGATGAGAACTTTTAGCAATCTCCAAATAATGCTCCACCATCCTCAAATACAAAAAGTAGAAGTTAAAGCACTTTTTCTTGCAACACCCCAGAGATATTAAGAAACAAGACAAAAATGGAATTACTTCATCTGTTTCCGTGGCAACTACTTGCTCCACAAAAAAGGTGCAGGAGAAGACAGTAAGTGTGAGAGTATAAAACTCTGTGTTGTTGTGTGTTAGGTGTGAATACAGTTATTCTTGGTCTATATTAAACTTCTGCAAATGAATACATCACAAACTAGTGTTGATAACATTCTAGATGGATAGCATCTTGTCAGTTCATTATACAGACTTTAATTCAAAACCCCTTTAAGGATGTTTTTT